TGACTAGTGACAGTGGGGGGGTTACTAGTGACAGTGGGGGGGTTACTAGTGACAGTGAGGGGGGGTGATTAGAGCCTACCTGTGCTTACTCTGCTCTCCCTGGCTGCTGCTCCTTCCCTTGCTGGCTGTGATCGGGCTCCGTGTGAGAGGAGAGTACAGGAAGTGATGTCACTTCCTGGCCCCGCCTCTCCCCATCACACAGAGCACCGCGCGGACAGACAGAAGGAGACCTGGCAGAGAGCTGCTGAAGCTGCCAGGTCTCATAGGGGGGTGATTTACAGGGCGGTAGGTTGTGGGACCCCGCGCTGCATCAGGGGCCCCACAACCTATCAATTAAAAAGTTTTATTTTATTATTTGTTCCATTTGGAGAGATCTCTGATCTTTGATCTCTCCAGCTGGAGCATGGCTGTGCGGCCGGGCCCCTGACTGCCTCGGGCCCTCGGTCCATGACCGATATGCCCGAGTGGTCAGTCCGCCCCTGGTTACAACTACATGTCTGTTCGTCTACCCATTGTAAAGCGCTGGGGAATTTGATGGCGCTATTTAAATAACATAATAATAATAATAATAATAACACATGCTCACAGCCACAAACACACATGTATAGGCTCACAAACATTGCGAAACACACACTTACACCTAGGCTCACATACACAGCCAAACACAGTTACAAATAGACACACACTCATACAATCTCATACGTAGAGAAACAAACCAAGCACACACACTTACATACAGACTCACACTTGCAGCCACATACACACACACACTTATAAATACAAACTCTGACAGTCATCTACAGGCTCATACACATATACCATACATACACTTTTATGTAGATGCACAAACAGCCACATACACCTACACACGAAGGTGTCTGTGCATCTGCCTACTGCCTCATGTAAGGAGATGCACTCCCCATTTGCCTTGAGTAAATGGGGAGTGTAGAGTGATTACATCACAATCCTGCCCCTTTCTGTCATAGAGCTCTGTGAGCTGGTCTGTATTGCAGGATCAGCTCCCAGTATTATCTAACAAGAGGGGCAGCCAGTCAGCAGGAACAGTAGGCAACCCCATAGGATAAAAAAACAGTCCATCTACCAATCATGCAACTTGGGAGAAGCAACATGGGGTGTGGATTATCCCAGAGATTGTGGAAAAATTCCACTCCAAAAATTAAAATAGTCTTTGTAATAGTCTATTTGCTTTACATATTTTTTCCCTTATGTCAGGACTTTCACAGATAATCTGAAGCAGAAAGAGAAAAAACTCTAAAGACAACAGATGTACCATCCAAGTTCATGTTAGTCTAGAATGAAACCCCTCCATTGAAGTAGTAAAAAAAAGATGATCAGGGACAATGGAATCAGTAGAAAGCAGATTTATTTGATGCACAATGTGACGTTTCAGCTCACAAAAGTCTTTATTTAAAATATAAAAACTTTTTGTGAGCTAAACCATCTCAATGTACATACAATATATCTGCCTACATACTGTGCAAACATCAAAGAAAAGGGAGTGTGGTCACTGTAGTACCAAAAACAATATATATACACAATTCAGCTAGTGCAACAAAAACATATAAGGCTGCTATGGTTCATCATAAGCAAAATGTAAAAGATGATTCAATTGTGCCATTGAATTGATAGGTCCTCTTCATTTTCTACTTTATCGAGGTACAGAGCAAATAAAGAAATCTTATCATAAATCCATTTACTTATTATTTTGAGTTATTTTGTGGTGGACAGAAAAAAATATGTACTGGTTATGCAGTGTCATACACATTGAACATTTCTGTATAGCTCTGTAATGTTCATTCACCCAGTAACATATCCAAACCAATCATCAATCTATTTATATCACACTTTCATAACCTCCGTTGATTTATATCCCATCTATCCTCCTTGCTCATGTATATTCCCAATTATCTCCACACCCCCTTTTTTCGTTCCCGGTTAATCCTCATTATATTCATTTTATTAGGCCCACAAAATAGATCTCCACTTCCCCTCTAACCCCTCTTCAATTTACATCCCCACACTCATCAGCAAACTAACACCATTATTCCCCAATTTAGCTTTCTGTTGTACCCAATAATAATATCACTCCCACTCTTCCTTCCTCCCCAAATTTAACCCTCACATTCACATGTGGTCTACTTTCAGTCTCCTGCATGTATAGATAAAGCTGAAATATAATAAAGGAAATGGAAAATATAGGTAAGAAAAGAGATACAATAGACGCTTAATTTAAAGGTTGTTAGAAAGGATGACACAGATGGCACTGAAATTAAGAAAAACATAGAAAACTGAATGGAGAACTAACCTTGATGAAATGGTGACTTCATCAGGTTTGGACCTTGGTGCTCCAGTGGCTGGATCTTTCTGCACTGTGATGCCCTAACATAAAAAGTTAAATTAGTTTCACAAAATCACTACCTCTAATACACTTCCAAACTATCATGGCACAGGACTATAAATAATCATATTGTTTTACCCAGCAGGAGCTGCTCACATTAACATTTAAACGCCTTGACATGCTCCTTGATGGTAACATGAATTTTGTGCATAGTTATGTAATTCTTCAATGTAACATTTTAACCCTGTGTCACTGTGTGTACCAAAAGCAGTATGTAAAGAGTAAGTACATCCACGCCAGCTTTCCATAATTTATGCAAATACGCTGAACTAAACATGGTTTCCGAGCCACTAGTGGAAGTGAGGGGGCAGGACTGTAATGCCACATTGACTTATCGCGCAGCATACCTTTCCTTGATCCAACCCGAATGTGCCTACCTGATAGATATGTGGTTGTCACATTTTTAAATGAAAATGCAGGTAAAATATGTTTATAAACAATGTGGGCTATTCAATACACAGGGATAATTAGGAACTGAACATATTAGAGCAAATAAACTGAGCTGTAAAAATAGGTAATTTAAGATTTTTTCTAGTTTCACTATTTTGGCCTTAAAAAATTATAATTCAAAAATAAATTCTTCATGGTTCATGATTTCGTGGATAAAGTTTTTTTCAAGTTTCTTTTTAATTAATTAATAAATAATAATTAATATCTATTTATTTTATATTGTAGTCATGAAGGACTAAAACAGAGAAAGTGGAACTGTGCCATAACATTAAAACATTATTTAACAGGGACTGAAATGAAATACTAAATTAAAATATATAAATATTACAGAGGTTTGAGAAAAAGTTAGAAGTTGGCATTTATTACCCAGATGTTATTTCACCACAGCATCTGATCACTGGACTGAGCTATATTTGTTTTCTTTACATCTTAGAGCACAGACCTTTTATTTATTTATTTATTCTGTATTTTTATTTCCTGCTCCTTGCTTCAGAAAAATAAAAATCAATATACTCTCCAATCTTTCAATGCTCTGCCCCAAAACTATTTTTTGGAGAGGGTAATGTTTTGTCATTCATAAGCTGGGCACCCAATCTTTGACATCATTCCTGGATGATATTGATCACTGCTTAGATTCTGCCAAATGATAAATAGAAATCATTTATCTGTCTA